CCTCTCTGTTTTGGTCTCTGGTTCTTCATTTGCTTACCCTGACTGTCCATGCTATCAGTCAAGATTGGACCGATCATTTCCTATATGTTATCCTCCCATTCGGTTCTTTCTCCATGTGATTTAGATAATTCATACTTTGTCGTGTCAGGTCCTTCTTATTGCTCCTTACTGGTCTGCTTCATCATGGATTCCACGCCTTCTCCAGTTCCTCCTTACTCCTTCTCTACCCCTTCCTCTGTCTCCCTCTTTGCTTCAACAAACTTGGTTATTGGTGCTTCATCCCATTCTTCCTATCCTTCCTCTTCATGCTTGGTTTTTATCTGGTCCTTGTTGAGGAGATTGGGATTATCCCAAAGTGTAACTTCCTTTCTGATGTGTTCCATAAGCCCTTCCTTCATGGAAGTTTATTAACAACAGTGGTATGTTTTCTGCAATTGGTCTTTGGGCCGGAGACTTGAGGCTGTTCAGCCCACTGTTACTCGTATTGCAGAATTCTTATTTGGCTTTTTATTGGTGTTCCTCTGTCTCCTTGATTTCTGGTAATTGAGTGACTGTCTCCCACACCTACTATTTTTTCCTGAAACCATCACGTTTTCCTCTCCTACACTCTCCCTTTTGCTCCATTCCTTCCAGATTACTCATCCTCCATGGCAGGCTGCCCTTCCAGACTGGAATGTTTAGGTAGAATGTTTAGAAAAAGGTTCGAACCATTCATTAAGAATAGGGCAGTAATGCTCTGCTGGTGTAGATGCGACATGGCCTCCAGAGGAGCTGAGCCATCACCTTACTGGTTGACGTGTCTTTCTGATCACATTTACACACCAACACTGGAGTTGAGCTGTCTCTTTACTGGATGACGTGGCCTCCTGACACCATTTACACAACCACTGGAGTCGAGCCATCACTTTTACAGATAACGTGGCTTCCTACTAACATTTACACAACATCTGAAGTTGAGCCATCATCGTCTGGTTGACGTGGCCTCCTGATACCTATTACACACTCACTGGAGTTGAGCTGTCACCTTCATGGTTGGCATGGCCTCCTGGTACTATTTCCACAACCAAGGGAGTTGAGGGATGATGTGACATCTCACTTCCTTTTACACAAACACTGGAGTTGAACCATCACCTTACTAGATGACTTGGCCTCCTGATGTACTTTACATAAACACTGGAGTTGATCCATTGCAACTGCAGTTCACCCCTTCGATTAGGAGACCTCATCTTAACTTTGCATGGAAGTCAGTTCCAAGCATAGAGGTTTTGGATTAGAGTGAACCAATCAACATAAGTCCTCACATGAGTTTGAGTTGTCTATATTCCTTCCCCAATTGGTGTCTGTGTCTTTGGTTACAGCAGTAGTACATGGGATTGTTCTGGTGCTATCTTTGACTATCCCTCATTCTCTTTTTATGGAGATTTTATTGCCTTTGGATGGTGCTGGCCTGTGCCATGGTTGGGGAAGTTGATTCCATGTGATAGACATCCTTTCGATACCAGATGACAATTCCTGGATTGCTAGATAGGTGATGATCCTCGTGCCATACCCAGAAATTGGTGTGGGTTTTAATCCCTGATTCTTTGGTTTGAGTTGTAGAAGGTATGATACTCATCCTATCCTCACATGGATGTTGGTAGTGTGCGAGGAGGTTTTGGATGTAATTGACTTACTGAGTACAATAAGCTGTTCCCTAGCCACTTTACACCTCACGATTTCCACCCTTGTGCATTACACAATCTGCACATGGGCAAAGAGTTTACCTAGCTTAGAAATGGTGCAGTTCCCCTCTTTTGATTTTTGGATCTATATATCTCATTGTCAGGGGTATCTTTCAGATGTTTTCAGGGGTACTTCTTTCCTTCCCACTCGCACCGGTCCCTCCTCTTTTTCAATTTCGGATTCTAGCTAATGTTGTTAGGGGAGGTAAGTGCTGTATCGGAAGTTATAATTTTCCTGTACTGAAAATGTATTTCCGATAGGTACTTATCTCCTCTCACACTTCCCACCCTTTCTCCCCACTTCTCTGGTGCTCACACCTGCCAAACTTCGAAGTGAAGGTTCGGTAGAGCAGTTTATAGGGAGTCACGTGAGCATGTCATGCTATTATTGGTTAAGAGATAACACATGATTATTTGCATGAGAGACATGTTGGAATGTAAGTTTGCATATAGAGAGTAGCACTGAACGAGAATAGCTAATCTTGTGATAGGAGATAAGTACCTATTGGAAATACATTTTCATTATAGGAAAATTATAACGTTTGTCCCAATTGTCTTCTTTACCTTAGCCCTTTTAATATTACATCTTTACATATTTATACAAGCTGGTTCTTTTTTTTTTGTTGTTGTAAACATCACATTTTAATTTGGCTGGTTTCTTTGTTCTAACTTGGCTATTTGTACATGTAAAGTGTTTTGAGGAGCTATCACAGCTCATTGTTTTAACTTATAAAATTTCCTACAAGAAAAGCCCCCAATGGTTCAGCAATATTTCTCAGGCATAAATAGTTATAATGTTTTTGTTTTTACATATAAACGCATTTTTAAAAAACTAGGACTAAATTATTTTATTGCCTGATCTGAAAGATGAAAAGCATTTAATTGATTTTGGTCTACAGTTAGCAATGAATATCTGAGCCAACCAGACCTTTTGTGATATTCAACCTCCAGGAGGCTAACATCTGGTACTTCCTCAGCTCTTTTGCAAATTTTACAGGATATGTACTATCATAATAAATCCAATGGTATTCATCAACCCAAAAACTGAAATGAACCAAAAAATGTACAATGATTTTAGTTGATAGAGAATTTTTTTATTAAACTTTGTCTGAGGTCATGAAATTATTATAATGAAATATCTACAGAGATTCTTACAAAGCTAGTAATCATCAGGAACTGTAAGGACCAATAGATTTCTGTCAAGATTGCACATATCTCAGAGGATAGATGTCAGAAGTACCAGGCCCACCTGGCAGTTCAGCAACAAGTCAATGTACTTATAATGCTAAAAAGCAGAGGTTTTGATACCTGCAATTGGCAGAGCACTGATAGTCCATTGTATAGCTTTGTGCTTTAAAACAAACAGAAGCATCAGATTTAAAGCTTACTTGTAGGAGTAAGGTAGCAAAATGTTTGACATGCTACCAGTGCAGCAGAAGTAGATGAGATCATGGCAAGATACCAGTTGCCTTAAAAGAGGCCAGAGAAGAATTTCTGTTGTTGTTAATAAAAATGCCAAATGGCCAAAGCTTAGCACTTCTACTTACACACGAGGTATGTTCATAGAAATGCCAGAAGATGTGGAAAGCTATGGTCAGAGCAGTGAGAATTGTTAACTTTGGGAAGCTAGAAAACTACTATGACCACAGAAAAAGCTACAACAAAATACTTCCCAGATCTAGTCCTACAGTTCCTGATATTTTCCTCCAACTTTCTGGATCTGATGCAGACACTACTCTGCAACCAGAAATTACCACATTGGTGTGTTTGGCTCAGAGATTTGTTGTTGATCAAAGAAGAATGAAGAAGTTAAAAGCATTGTTACATAAATAGTGCTACTCTCTCTTTAACAATATTATCACTATTATTATAAAACAACTTTACAGGGTGTTAAAGGAAAAACTGTTATTTTGAATAAAATTCCTAACTTCAACAGACCTTAGAGAGTTGAAACCAGTTGTATTCCCTAGTTCAGTTTAATGTGTACAATATGATGTGTTCATATAGTATGTACTCTTTTGTTTAATGTTTCTTTTGCCTTCTCAACAAGAAGTTTTTAAATTATTATTTCATTTCAAATATAAATTCCTGTTTTATATGGGATGTTAAGGTGTTTAGATCTGTTCAGAAACATAATAATAGTAGCACTACATCCGTTAGAATAGCTGTGACAATTCCTCAGACTTAGCCACAATATCAGTCTAACAATGGATTCATGATGGGGAAACTGAAGTCTAGTAATGAAGATGAATACAGTTGATAAAACATTTTATTTGCAAGGTTCTAACGTTTCGGAATATACTAATTCCATAATAATATAATAACATAATCAATGGTTGATTTAGTTATTAAGAGAAGCAGGAAATAGATGAATAGAACAATGATTATATATATATTACACAACGGCTGAGTTAAGTGTGAAACTTTAGAACAATTTTAGATCTAAAGAGCTTTGCGGGTCGTTAAGAGTTAGGTGGTCTTTAGCTGTGAGTAGACTTTCTTTAATATAGAGTTCAAAGTCTGAACATCCTGTGGTAATGATAGAGAAATTGTTAAATGAAATATTGTGACCTGAAAGTCTACTCATAATTAAAGACTGCCCTGACTCACAAAGCTCTTTGGATCTAAAATTGTTCTAAATTTTCACACTTAACTCAGCCATTGTGTAATACATATATAATCATTGTATTATTCATCTATTTACTGCTTCTCTTAATAACTAAGTAAACTAATGATTATGTTGTTATATTATAATTTTAGTTAATAATCATCTTTGTAACACGATTATCAGATTTAGCTCAAGATCGAATAAGTTATCCTGAAACATTTGAATCTTGTAAATAAAATGTTTTATGTTTTATCAACCATCTTCATCTTCATTATCATTCTAACATATATGTATGTATATAGTCACAGTAGAACTATTTTTCTAACTTGGCTGGAGTCACAGCAGTGACCAGATATATAATCATACTCGTGCATTTATTTAATATAACTATAATTTCACATAAATGTACTTTGTACCTGGAACTAGAATGCATGATTTTTTATGTTGGGTGAGTAGACATTAAATGTTGTTACTACATTTATGAGACCAGTTATGTGTTACAATTAAAAACATTACTCTCATAGATTGGACAAAGATGGCCATTTGCAGAACCAGAAAATAGCATGTCTTTGATCTCCGACCAGTCCTCAGTTTCAGAATGTTCTAGTAGTGAACTTGGTGCTACAAGTTTAAAGTGTTTGAAAGTAAGTTATGTTACTGCAGTGTAAAGTGTTTGAGAATAAATTATGTTGCTGTAGTTTAAACTATTTGAAAGTAAATTATGGTGTTATTTTGTAAATTATTTGAGAGTACATTACAGTGCTATAGCTTAAAGTGTTTTGACAGTGAATTATGGTGCTATATATATAAAGTATTTGAGAGTAAGGTTCAGTTCTGATAAGGTACTCTTACTCCACTCACAAGAGTAGCTTTTCTCATTTTGTGCTGCCCTCTATATGCAAACTTTTTCAGAAATGCATGCCACAAGCCTCCATCCTCCCTCTCTTGGAATCCAAAGTTCCAATTCGTCTCTCATGCAAGTCACCATGCATCACCTCTCCACCAATAGGAGAGCCTTACTATCACGTGATGCATGTGACTCCCTCTACACGCCACTACTGAACTATCACTTGTTGTTTGGTAGCTGTCAAGTTCAGATGTTCGTTTTTTACATTGTTCAGTTACCTTGAAAAGGTTTATTTCTTCATTTTTTATATTTTTCTTAACTTTATTTCCAACACTTCACGGTTGTGGAGTTAATATTTTAATAAAGCATTTCTTCCCTCTTATGAATTCCAAAGTTACAGTTACCTCTTAAGGTACTTTGCCAGCATCTGATGCCATATTTTGAGCCATGGGCATGGGTGACCCGTCGGGGGATATATCATCAGTCATTTGCCAGAAGATTTAGCAGTATATGAGCCAACCTCTGTCGCCTACTTTTGCTCCACTTTCTCCTGAGACTTTCGGGCTGGGCTAGCTGTAGACAATTTTGATCGTTAGTTCCCCACCCAGAGTTTGCCATGCATTCCCGTTCACTACCCGATGATTTAGTTTGTCTGTAATCGGTCTTTTCAGACTTTATCTCTCAAGTATGTGATGATTTGTCTCTTACACCTGTTTCCTATGGCCCTAGACCTTCCCTTTGCATGAAACTTCCCAACCCTATTTAGTCTTTTCCCTCGTTCCCCAATATTAGGGTTCACCCAGACCAATTTGACTCTCAACTTGGGGAGGGCATTAGTATGCCTCGTCCCCCATGGACTTCTGATCAGTCTGCCCTTGCTTATCATTGAACCAGCTCACCAGGTCCACAGGGGTTTTACTCCCACCTGTTTGTGATTCCCAAGAAGACCAGGGACTGGCATCCTGTCCTTGATTTATCCCATCTCAATCAGTATGTTCACACTCATCACTTTACCATGGTGACATACCTTTCTCTTTGTTGGGCATTTTCTTCAGGTGTTTGGATGACCAAGGTCCAATGCTTACCTACACATTGTTGTAGTGGAGTGTTCCTGTTCATATCTTCAGTTTGTGCATCAGGGGGGTTGTGTACCAGTTTTGTGCCTTACCTTTCGGTCTAGCCTCAGCACCATACATGTTTTGTCGTGTGGTCTGTTCTTTGCTCAACATATTTATGCCATGGGTTGCACTTTCATGTTTGTATGGATGACTGGCTTCTTCTTGCTCATTCCAAATGGGAATCGGCCTGTAACAATAGTCAGCTCCTAGCTGAAGCTGTGCAGGTAAACTGGTTGGTCAAATTGGAAAAGTATTTCCTTTGTTCTAATCAATGCCTTATCCATTTGGGTGTTTTCTTCAACACCAATCTCAGTTGGGCCCAACCTTCTCCTCTCTGGCTCCATTCTATGGAACCGGCCATTCGGAAAGCCCTGCCTGTTCCCTCACTTATAGTTCATGAGGTTCTATTGCTTTTTGGGATGTGGTCCTCCCTGACCCCTCTGATACCCCTGGGTCCCATATGTGGTTTCTTCAATGGGTCCTTCATGATCAACGGATCCTCACTCAGGATCCCTTGAATACTTCTATATCCCTTCCCTCATCCCTTGTAGACGATTTCCATTGGTGGTTGAATAGAGCACACACGTCAATGGGGTCCCACATCTGTTCTCAGACCCATCCCTTCAGGGTTGGGGTGCCTGGGTGGATCACCTGGAGGTTTTGTGCCATTGGTCTGTGAATGAGAGTTCTCTTCTCAAACTCCTGGCTGGTTATGATCCATTCCAAAAATTCTACCATGGTGGCTTATATCAATCACCAAGTTTGCACCAAGTCCAGATTCCTTTGTTTTTGCACTATGGATCTTCTTTTAGGGGCCCACAAACATCATATTCGTTTGATGGCGTGCCATGTACTGGGTGTTTTCAATCTTGTAGTTGATCGTCTTTCCCGACCGGATCTTGTTTATCCCATGGAGTGGTCCATGCATCCTGCCGTTTTTTTGGTGGCTCTGTCTGCAACCCAGACTGATGCCTTTTCCACCACCCTCAATCACAAATTACCTCGGTTTGATCCCTGTTTCCCCATCCTCGAGCATTGGCTGTCGATGTCTTCAGCCAGGATTGGTCTCATCTGTTCCTTTATGTTTACTCTCCCATCCATTTATTTCATTGGATGGTCTCCCTCATCCATACCACTCCATGCAGGGTCCTTCTGATTGCTCCTTACTGGCCTGCTCAACCTTGGTTTCCTCGATTGCTCCAACTGCAGGAGGTTCCTCCCCTTCCTCTTCACTTCTGTCCTGACCTGCTCCATCAACTCCAGTCACTGGTGTTCCATCCCATGTGGTCTGTCCTCCATCTTCATGCCTGGCTTTTGTCAGGTTCTTGGCAAGGAGTTCCAGTTTGTCTCACATAGTAGCTTCACATTTAGCCCGTTTCATTTGCCATTCTTCTTTGGCTATCCATCAATGCAAATGAAGCATTTATTGCTCCTGAGCATTGATTCGGGATTTCCGGGTTTCTCACTCAAGGGTCGCCTGTATCACCGACTTTCTCACGTGGCTCTTTGAGAGGGGTTCTTTGGTCTCCTCAATTACGGTGTTTTGGGTGGCATTATCCCATACATTCTGTTTTTCCCGCTTCCACAGGGTCTTTGCTTCCCCTGTCCTTTCCATCTTGATCCATTTCTTCTGGCACCATCAGCCACTGAGGCATCAGTCACTCCTAGACTGGGAAATTAATGTGATCCTTCATGCCCTCACTTTGCCTCCATTCGAACCTCTGTCTATGTGTTTCCTGTTTCACCTCTCTTTGAAAGTATATTTTCTCCTCCTTCTGGCCTATGGGCATTGTAGATTGGATATTTTTGCCCTTAACATTACGAGGACCTTGTAACACTTCTTATCTTATCCTTTGTTCGGATCGTGATTTCCTTCCCAAGACGTCTGTGGCTCGATAAGGTAAGTCCTCTTTTACAACTATCTGCTTGTCCTCTATATCTCATCTCTACCCTCGTAATGATCTGGATAGACTTCTCTGTCTTGTTCGTGCCCTCTGTTTTTCTATTGCTCACACAGCTTCCTTCTGGGGTCCTTGTTCCCGCCTTTTTATCCCATGGCAACCTTCCAATGATTTGTACCCGGTTACCCTGATCAATTGGATTCAATGTTTGTTCCAGTTGGCCTACTCCTCCTTGTCTCCTTCCCAGCATAATCTCTTTCATGTTTCCTCACATCAAATCCATCACCTTACCTTCTCCCTTGCCTCTCGCTTTGGTCGGCCATTGGAAGAGATTCTATGATCGGGAATTTGGACAACTCCACATATGTTTGTCTCCCACTACCTATACTGCATTGCTGTTTCTGCTTCCTTAGAGTATCACCTGTGACAATTCTGCAGACTTCGGCATGGCTGTGACATGAGGTAAACCCTCACTAATGCATTCTTTTCTTTCAGGGGCCCCTGCTTCAGCTTCACTTTGGATCTCACTCTGTGGTGAGTGGTGCGTGACTAGGTATTCTGTATTCCAATTAGATGTCTGTAACCATTTGCAAACATCTTGATATCAAATCTGCACTGTAAGCCATGTTGATTGTTATACATTTTCCTTGAGATGGAGTGTCTCACAACATCACTGGAGTGCAAATTCCTCGTGATAATTGCATCATAATATGAATGGCATGGGTAAAACAGAAGGGGATTGCTGCCCATTCCTGCCATGCCTAGATTGAATAAATCAGTGTGGTCTACTTTTCAAAATAAGGTTTCCTGATCACCCATTGCACTGTCTCGGGTGTTGCAGTCCCTCCGGACTTTCCACCACACTTTCCTCCCTTTCTTCCACTGGAATACATGAGTCCTTACCACTTACCAGTTCCAAGCTGCTGATGTAGTTTAGAATGGAGGCAACTTGCTAGTTGGGTTCCACAAAAGTGGCTATAACCATTCAGTTCAGAAGAGGGTCGTGGTGTTCTGCTGGTGTAGAGGGAGTTACAAGATCCTCTGGATGAGTGACTATTTCCCAGAGTTAAAACACCCAAATGCAGTTCATCCTTCTGATTGGGTGCCCTCCTCCTACCCTCGGGCACCCAACAAGTCAGGTTTTGGAGATTGAGTAAACCAATCACATAAGTTCTCACAAAGGTTTTGGGTTGTTCATCTTCCCCTCTCGACTTGTCTTTTGGGTTGTGGATAACAGAGGTCTACGAGGCCTGTTTCCACTTCTGTCCTGGGTTTTCCCTCATTGGGCGATGAGGTTGTTTTGGGTTGGTTTCATGGTCACAGGGGTTGAGTGAATGTGATGGACTTCCCTCGGATTCTGGATGAATGACACATTCCCGGATCCCTGGCATTAGGCTACCTGTGAGTTCTTGGAGTCGAATGTTAGGTTCCTTCTTGACTCTGGGGCTTGAGGTGAAGATGGTATGATCCTCATCCTACCCTCGCAAGGATGTTGGTACCCAGCAAGTGAAGTTTTGAATGTAATTGACTTACTGAGTATAGTCTGTCATGCCCTAGCCACTCTACACCATGGGACACATCCTCACTTGCCCACTTTCCATTGTGGCATTCTGATTTCTGTTTAAGATCATATTGCTAAACTATCCTCTCCCAAGTGGATGTGCTCCTCTTAATGTTCCATCATGTCTTGTCTTCCTGATCATGTCGATGTTCCTGACAAAGAGATACCTGGCTCAAATGTGGTGTGGTACCCCTCCTCAGATCATCTGATCTGTTCC